TTTGGCCTGACTTGGAACTGGGAGAGGTTCATAAAAAAACAACCTCCTTGACCAAAGCCTAATGACTAAAACAACATTCACTAGTCTACATTAGTTGCTGGTTTGTGCCACGTTATGCTGTGACAACAAAAGTGCACAACAACATTTTATAGATTCCTAAAATTATATTTAATATAGTATAGACAATAATTACAATAATTTTACATAATATAGTTATTGTGAGCTAAAATGACAGCCAGGTGCAGGGTACAAGGCTGTTTTATAGGTCAAACAATGCTAACCTGTGACACAAATGCAGCAGTCTGGCGGTATGGTTTAGATAATTAAACCTTATTAAACAGTGTTATGTCATTTTCTGTATCTCTGTAATGTATCATTCTATTGCTGTATAAGAGAAAAAGCCCACAGAAAAGTACAGCACCTTCTAGCTGAAGACAACAAATATTAGAAAGCTTCGTTTACATTTCCAATTACTGGAAGTGGTCCCAAACATTAGCTTTGAGCAGGTCGTGCACATTACTGCCTATTAACGCGTTTAGGAGCTAGCTTATTCATCAGTCGAGCATGTTGAGGCTGTTAACACTTGTATTGAGAGCCAACACCTCAGCTGATACAAACCCAGGAACATCCCAGGTTGTTTCATTTCTTTAGCTTTTGAGTTGCAGGGAAAACAAAAGCTGACAAAACATTGACTGAGGCCAAACATGGCACAGTGAATGATGCCATAAAAGAATTATTTTCAGAAAAAGTGAACCAACCCCGAGGAGTCCGTGCAGTGTGAAGATTTTACTCATTTACGTCAGATTCTTGGTATCCTTACCTTTCTCGGTGGTGGCTGCATGTTTGGATGTAGCTGGCAGCTGTTCTCTCCGTTATGGCGTTAGTTTGTTGCACTTCTTGTGCACCGTTACTTCCTTTATAGTTTCACTAATGCACATGTGCAACTCTCTCTCTCTCCCTCTCACGCGCTCTCTCTCCCTCTCACGCGCTCTCTCTCCCTCTCACGCGCTCCCTCTCTCTCAGATTGCTGTTTGGCTTGAAATCCTCTAGAGGGCAGCAGAGTAACACTGGTTTGAAGAGTCCATGTTATTACTAATAATTCTTCTGT